TTTGAAACAAAAAAAATGAAGATAATACTAGTTTTGATATTGATTTTTATTTTAATTATTTAAAACAGAGAAACTATAATTTTAGTTTCTAAATACTCAATTTAAAGAATTAAAGTCATTATTATTTAATCTTTTAATTTTAGTATTAAAAATTTAAATTATATTTTATTAAATTAAAATAATTACAATATAATTTTCTACTTTGAGAATGAACAATATAATTAAGAAGATCAAGTCTAATGTTATTAATGCTAATTTTAACAATAATACAATAATAGTATTTTCGAAAACGCCCATATGAATGTGAATATTTTGATTATTATTATATAAAATAATTAAAAGAATAAGGTAAATATTATATAAAATAATTAAAAGAATAAGGTAAATAGAAAAGTAAAATGCATGGTTATACCACTTTCCTTTTAATCTATAATTAGTTAGGTATGAATCAAATGTAAAGTCTAATGTTATTGATGCTAATTTTAAGAAGATCACAAAATGTAAATTAAAATAATTACAATATAATTTTCTACTTTGAGAATGAACAATATAATTAAACTCAAAATTGAGAATACTCTTATACATTTTTGAACTCTTTTGGATAATTTTATTTTTCCTAATTTTTGATAAAGTTAATTTTAATATTTAAAACTATTTAACATTTTGAATTCTGAAAGGTTTTCTCTAATAGCAAATTTAAAAACATAATATTCAAAAAAATATTTTAAGATTGTGAATTCTCGGGTTGTATTTCGCTTGAGCGACACTACTCTCGCTCGAGCGAAATACGATTCTGATCGATCATAACTTGAAATGATCGATCATAATTGAGAGGATATAATAGCGATTAGGCGTTAACCGCTATCTAAAATGTATTTTAGATAGCGGTTATGGGTTAACCGCTATCTAAATCATATTTTAGATAGCGGTTAAGCGTTAACCGCTATTAGAAGTGTTATTCGCTCAAGCGAAAATAACATCGCTCGAGCGAAACGCCCCTGCACAAAATTGGCATTCTCGGGTTTTATTTCGCTTGAGCGAGTCTAGTCTCGCTTCGAGCGATTTTTTGTTCGATCGATTATATTTTCGAAATGATCGATCATATTTGATAATTTTTTCAAATAATTAATTATAATCGATTAGTTTTATAAATTATTGATTAGAATTGATTAGTTTTTCAAAGAATAGATTAGAATTGATTAATTTCGAAATATATAATAAAAAATTATAAATAAAAATATAAATTAGTTAAGAATATTGACTATTGTAAAGATAAAGTAGAACATGGGAGGAGATGAGGATGATAATATAATGATAGAACTTACAAAAATGTAGAATTGAGATGTTTGAAACAAATAAAATTAAGAAAATAGAGATTTAATTACACTTTTAATAAATTTAAGATAATACTAGTTTTGATTTTTATTTTTAAATATTTATTTTAATTTTTTAAAAACAGAGAAACTATAATTTTAGTTTCTAAATACTAAATTTAAAGAATTAAATTTATTATTAATATTTTTTAATATTGTTTTAAATGTGGATATCTTTAATATTTTGGACATATAAATATAATTTATACATGTTTTTAAACCTTTTTCTAATATTTGTTTTTAAAAATATAATATCATTTTTAATATTTTATAGATTTTATATTTATATATTTATAAAAGTAATTGGATTAAATTTATTATCCTCTCATATATTATTATACATTTAGCGTAATTTTAGTTTAATTTAAAATTAGAATACAAATATACTATACTAATGTACCATTATATTATTTTCATTGTATATAAATTACAAAATTAATAATTTGTATACTATACTATACTATCATATTATTTGTATACTATACTAATAGTATAATATACTATATTATAATATTATTTGTATACAAAACTAATATCTTTATATATAAATATATAAATATGGAAAGATATAAATATATGTGAAAATATAAACATATAAATATATATAAATATGTAAAGATATAAACATATATCTTTAATATTTTGTACATGTAAATATAATTTATATATATTTTTAAATCTTTTTCTAATATTTATTTTTAAAAATATAATATTATTTTTAAAATTTAATATTTTTTTTAAATATATAAATATATATAAAGATATAAATGTATAAGGATATAAATAAATATATCAATATATAAATATATCAAAATATTAATATATAAATATGAAAAGATATAAATATATGTAAAAATATGAAGATATAAATATATAAAAATATAAATATATGTAAAAATATAAAGATATAAATATATCAATATATAAATATATCAATATTTAAATATATATTAAAATATATAAATATATTTTTATTTATAGATTTTATATTTATATATTTATACGGATATACATTTATTTGTATATAAATATAATTTATTTGTAAGTTATTATTAAAAGATCCTAGTAGCTCGGTGGTTGGAGTTTCAGCCTCCAACTCTAAGGTATCGGGTTCGAATCCTGACAATGACAATAAATCACCTAATAATAAGTTAAACTTCTAAAAAATATAATATAATTAAGAGGTAGGGAAAATAAATAATAAATATAATAAAAATGTAAATAAATAAAAATAATTAAATTTGTTATTGATTTAGCGACCGATTTAAATCGATCGCTATTTTTTTAACTTTTTCATTGATTTAGTGACCGATTTAAATCGGTCTCTATTTTTTTACCTTTGTCATTAACTTTTTCATTGATTTAGTGACCGATTTAAATCGGTCTCTATTTTTTTACCTTTGTCATTAATTTAGCGACCGATTTAAATCGGTCGCTATTTAGCCACCGATTTTCAGTCGCTAAATAGCGACCGAATTAATTCGGTCGCTATTTAGCGACCGAATTAGCGACCAATTTGATATATTAATTTCGGTCGCTATTTTGTGACCGAAATAAAATCGGTCGCTATTTTGCGACCGAAATGAAAATCGGTCGCTAACACATTAGCGACTAGGCTTTTTGCAACTACACATTTCGGTCGCTAATTTCGGTCGCTAACTGATTAGCGACCGATTATTGGGCATTAGCGACCGATTTTTTCGGTGGCTAAAATGTTTTTTTCTTGTATTGCATGCATATGTTTCTTTCTTCTGGTTTAAGATTCATGCTTTGTGTTTTTCTAAGTATTTCACCAATGTTACTTTATAAGGGTTCAGTTACTGACCCTAAGCTAAAGTTGGATCAAAATGTCAAGAGTCAAGGGTTCACAAACTCTATCACAGAACAGAACAAAAACAAAACCAGCGTTTGGTTCACGCATGTAGCTAGAATATAAAAAAAGCCATGTGTTAGTGTGTTGACATGTGTGTTTTGAATTTTGTGAATGAGTTAGTCCTCGAGAAAGACATAATCATCGTATGTTGATTTTGAAAAAATCTGTTGAAACATCATGGTACTACTACTGCAACCATAACAACATATAAACTATGGTTAATTATCTTAATCAGATCTTTTAAACCAAACTAAACAAAATGGAAGGCACTAGTGTTGATCTTGATTAAACTAATGAAGATTGAAGTAAAATTGTAGGGATTATTATTTGTGTTGTAAAGTGTAAAAAGTATATGAAAGAGGTAGACACAACTTACCTTATGAGTCTTAAAAAGGTTGATGTAGAAGGCAGAGAAAGCAAGGCAGGGATGAGAAGCAGTGAGCAGTGCAACCCAAAATCAAAACAACAATTCAACAAACAGTTCAATCACCACCTACATTATTTCCAAAACATTAGAAACATCATATGAAATGAAAATCCTAGGTTGCAGTGTTAATCAAATTACGTTAAATGGAGGCTCTGAAAATTCATTCCCCTAATCTTCAACAGACCCCTATCTGCGACAGAAATCAAACCCAATTTCATTTCTACGAGCCCTAACATTCAAACTAGTAATAAAAAGTAAAACAATAACTAGAATAAGTTATAGAATACACTGGATAGTTGAATAAGTTGTGTGAAATAGAACCAAAATACCAAAGACTCCGACAGTTAAGGTTATACCTATTTATGTGATATTTTTCGTCTTCCACTGCAATTCAAGTCACTGCGTCAACAACGCGGAGGAAGGAAGAAGAAACAGTAGTGATTAAAAGGAGAAGAACTGTAATGCGAAGAAGAAGAAATGAAAAAGAAACTAAATACTATTAATGAAAGCATAGAGGCAGAGACGTCGAGACGTCGATGAACAAATTTCAATTTTTTTTAATTATTTTTAAAGTAACCAATTATAAAATATTTTATTATTTTTCTATAAAATTAATTAAAATCTTTTTAAGAAATATTATTTTTAATTTTTGCTACCATTTTTTAAAATATTATTAAATCTTTTTTTACAAATTATATTTATAAAAAAATATAGAAAATAATTTTCATTCCTGCTAAATTTTATACGAATATATATTTGAAAAATAAAATTATAATTATAAAATTGAAGAAAATTTTGTAGGAATTTCTTACTATTAATTTTTTGCAAAAAAAAATCTTACATATTTTCTAGAAAAAATATTTTGCAAATAAATTTGTAATAATTTTTTGTGAAATATTTTTCTTAGGAAAAATTGTAACTATTTTTTACTAAAAAAATTTTGCAGATTAAATTCGCTTTTTCTTTTTCTTTTAATATTTTTTTAATCGTCATTGCCCACGATTTTGCCACGGAAGATAAGTTCCCACCTCTACTACGTTACATGGTTTGGCTCAATTTGTTGATCACGTTTGAGATCAGCTTGCTGAAGTTACAGGAAACAAAAGAAGAAGGTAATTGAAAAAGGATCGTACACAATGAAAAAAGAATAGATAAACGATGAATTAATGATGTAATTTTATTGTTAATATTATTGACCTTATAGCTATATTGCAATTAATGAGGGTGTGTGGTCCAATAGCCAACCCAGTTTTCTTTTCTGTGTACAATTTTTTGTATAAGAATGAAGTAAACTCCCCCAATTAAATCATGAACAAAAATTTAGCCATCAAATAAGGTTGTAAAGTATTTCATTCCAAGCGTCTGGAACACCGGCAAGACACCAGTGGCTGCAATCCATTCCTGCAGCTCCAGTCAGACCATAAATGGAAGGGTGTCCGTCTTTCCTTAGCAGTGATAGGGTTGTGATGTCTAGCAGCGTCACCGGTTTCCTGATTGTGCCCAGCACACTCTTTAGCACCGCCACGGCCGGCGGCAATCCGCCGGGGTAGGTTGATCCCGGCACCGGTGTCTTCTGCCCGATGCAACTCCTTGCACTTGGCTCATTCCATAGGCTGCCACTGCAAAATCAATGCCCAATGTCATGACCCAATTATAGACTTTGTAGGAATTAATTTCATTACGATAAACGCAATGGCGTGTTTGGATTTTTGTCTAGAAAGTGTTTGTTTGCTTGAAACCCTGGAAGAATTATGATTTTGCTTACTTGTAGTGAGATGGGGAAATTCCTTGAAAAAAGACCTTCACTTTTGTAGGGTCAACGTTGGCGTCAACCCATTTACCCCACGTCTTAAGTGCTTCTTCAAAAGCCTTCATTCGATCCATGTCTTTCAAAATTTCACTTCCTAGTTGGATATAATCCCATCTGAAAAATTCATTAATTAACAAAAATCACAACAAATTCAGATAATTATGAACTTGCAAATAGTGATCTTTAAACCTACGGTTGAGTGGGTCCTCTACGGTACCACCAGTGCCATGTGTTGAAGATAAGCATGTCAATCCCTTGCCACAATTTGCTTCCTTCTATTGAATCAAGCTTCAACACCCTCCCTATTTTCTCTCTCACAACGTCAACCAGATACACGCTCCTATCTAGCATCACTTTAACCCTATACTCCTGCAATTTTTTTCATAAAAATATAAATTCATCAATGAAGATTCCCTCAAGATAATGATGAAATCAAACAACGCAACAAAAACCATGCTTGTGCCACACAATATACAAATACGCTAAGGCCATTTGCTCAAGTGACTTAAGAATACGAACAAGCAAATTAAAGGGACCACTTTGGACTTAAGACATCGCAAATTCGCACCTTGCCCTCACGTTGTCTATCCCTTGTGGTCGCACTACACAAGTCGGATAAAATAATGATGCATATATATTTTAGTATTTTTTGTTGCTGCTCTTCTCTCACAATTTATGTCCAAGAAGTTTGAATTAACATGATTGTTGTATATATTGAAAATTAGAAAGCATACCGTAAATGTGAAAGTGGAAACATCTCCAACTCTAGTCAAAGTATAAGTTGAATTGGGGACTGATGAATGAAGCAAGCAAGTCAATGACTGCCATTGATTTCTGCTCAGTGAATCTCCCACGAACATGATGCTCTTCCCTCTCATCTTCTCTAGAAAATCCCGGCCGTCAAATCTTCAATCAAACATTACAATTTGAAATTTTCAAAAAAATAATGACACAATTTAATACGAGTTGTCGATTATGGCTATTATTACTCTCACTGGCTTCACTTTTCAGAGAAAGTTAATGAAACAACTACATATACGAAACGTCAACCACTGTTACAATTTGTCGCTGAATTCACTTTCCAGTTCATGTTGTCTTCATTTTCTCGAAAAGAAAAAATTGGTACAAAGGGAAAAGGAAAGGGGACATGTTGGGAATTAGATGAAATGTGGAAGGTGGAAAAGGGAAAGTGCGAAAACTAAAAGCCTGAGTTTCCGACAAGGGACGAGCACGTGAGTGAATCATCCGACACTTGTGTTTTATGGGCGCAGTTGTTTTTAGTCTCTACGTTACAAATTGGAAGAAACATGGAGATCTAGTGAAATGTTGGGGGTTTGTTTGTAACTGACATGATGCAAAGCACTTTTGCCTGAACAAGTGCAAAAGCGCTTTTATGGGTGCATGTGAAACCGCGTTTTCCTACCCAAGCCAAACATTCGGAACCTCTACTTCCTCGCTAATGTCTTTTTCGCTTTTCCAACAGAAAAATTCCCATTGGTAGCATTTTACAGGCTGGATGGTGGGATGATTCCAAAATGGTCACATGATATATGGTAATGGAAAATTTTTCAAGTAGAAATTTTGTACAAATAAAAAATGTCTTACCTTATTAAGTTTATACCCCTCAGTTTATTTCAGGATAATAAATTATTATTAATTATTAGAAATATAATAATTTTAACAATATTTAATAATTTTTTAGTGTTTTTAGTTCAAAACAATCTACTAATAGAAACGAGGACCACACAAATTTAATATACATTAATTGAGAATAATTAATTAAGGCACGTAAGTTTAGGAAAAAGAATTACTCATATTTGTCCGTTTTATAATAATAAATATGTAAAACCGCACCAAATAATAAATATGTCAATATATTTAATGGATAAATTATATTAAAATATGTGTTCAAAGTACAATCAATTAAAAATAAAATCTAAAATTAATCAAAACTAAATACTTTTAAAATTTTCTATATTGAAAAATTTTAGAACAATTGGATTCTTCAAACCCTAAATTAACTTGAATTAAAATTATAAATATTATAATTAATTATGCATGATATTTAATAATATATTTTTATTAACTAATAATTTTATTATAATATTTAATAAATTTATATTAAAAATATTGAAATCAACTTACAAAATATTCATTTAGTTTTATTTTAATTTTTTAAAATAAAAAATAAACTAATGAGACAATATTTAAATTTTATGTTTGTTTTGAATGTTTTAATCCAAATTATATGGCCAAAACAGTTAATTAAAATTGTTTTAAATTTTGAAATATAATAATAAAAAAGAATAATTTAAAAAAAATTGTAAATAATAATAATAATAATAAGTGAAAAAGTATTAGGCAATTAACGTATATAATTACCAATAATCTTTAATTGAAATAAAGTAGCAGCGTACTTTATTAACACTCTTAATATTAAAAGTAAATCGGTGGTTACCAGACACAAATTTTTTTTTTTTTTTTGGTGTACCACTACAAGACATAACCCTTAAATTTCAACGTGAAATCATGAAAATTATATAACACCAATTTTGTTAGGCTGTCACAACAATATTTTTTGTTAAACAATGAAGTTAACAAAAATCAAAATTAAACAAGTATCAATTCCAAAGCAAAAAGAGACAAAATTTATGAAATTAAAGAAGGAGAGAGAGACCCAAAAGGAAAACAGAACGAAGCCATAACAGGGGTTTAAACTAATTAATCTAAGGATGAATTTGAAATTCTTGTCTATTACAAATAAAGAGGAAAAGAACAAAAGGGTCTGGTTCTGTGTCAGAAATGGAGAAGCAGAGTTGGGGAAAAAGAAAGGAGTGGTAATAAATAATTAGGTTTAGTTATTTATGTTGAAAAGTGTACGAGAGAAAAAGGAGCGAAGGGGGAAGAAGGGAGAGTGATGAAAAGAAGGTAGCGAGTTACGAACCTGAGTAAATTGCAGGCGAGTGGGTGCCACCGATAGTGGGTGTAAATCCGGTCAGGGCGTCCATTCGGTTCGCACCTGAACTCGCGCTCGATGAAGGGACACGTGGACGGCTCATACAGCGGGTACGATTCATCCACCACCCATGTCCCCGTGAACAAATCACATTTCTCACGATCCCAATCCCAACCTCTCACCTCCACCGCCAGAACGAGGAAGCAGAAGAAAAGGAAGAAACCACGTTCTACACGCTCACTCATTTCGTAATCTCCTTCTCTCTCTCTCCTAAACAGCATAGGAGAGAGAAAATGAGACACTGAGGTGGTAATGCGGAGAGATCTAACAGAGGTTTCTTTGTCCCTCCCTCCCTCTCTCTCTCTCTCTCTCCTATGAATCTCAGTGTTGTTCTTCGAACCAAGCTCTCGTTACGAATTTATACAAGTTTGGCTGCATGTGTTTATGCGTATTGACACACTCTGAAGAGAGAGAGAGAGAGTTTAAATTTTGTTTTATTTTTTAGAAAATAAAAAAAATGAGGTGATGGTCGTTAGGACCAAATAATGGAGCCATGAAATGGAATTAAGTAAGCTTTTGTGGGATTCTTCTTGTACTTTGCGAGATGAAACTGCATTTTCATGATGCGTTAAGTTGATTGTTAAAAGTTAAAGGATCTCATTTAAGTGTAACTAATGTCGTAGTGATTACTCATTATGAATGTAGTTAATGTCATCCATTTAAAAAAAAAATTACATAAAAATTGTATTTTGAAAATTGTCTTTAATGTTTTGATTTGAATTACGTCAGAACATTTAAACCACAAGCGTTGTCTATTCATGCTAGGGTGGGAATATGAATGGGAATTCATTCAATCTTGTTTTTTTACTGTTTTTTTTTACGTGTATTTATTGAAATTCACTTTATTAGTTATTATTCCATTGAGTTTCAAAATGGAAAATACATCTGAAAATTTATCTAACCATTTTTGTTTTTTGTTATATTGATTTTTGTTAAAAATATAATTAATATTTTAATAACAAAAATAGTGTAATTTGAAAGATTCACAAGAAACAAAAAATCAGATTGGATCTGTGTTGATTGATTTAAGTAAAACTAAAGTCAAATTTAAATACTTTTTTATAAGAAAATTAATTACTGGAGGACGTTATTACTTGATAGATAATGTTGTTTAGCAATTTATATTAATAAGTTGACTTGACTTTATTAAAGAGGTCACTCAAAAACTATGAAATTATAAATAATAGTTATTATGTATAATGTCAAATCAACTTGAATTAATTAATTTTTAAAATCAACAATTTCATTCTTCTATTTAAGTGTAAGAAGAGAAAGCATTTTAATTTACTTTCAGTTATTCTTATAAAACTTAATTAACTAATTCATCAATATTAATAAAATTGACCATTGGATTATAATATCAATTACATATTTGTTTGATTCATAGTTTAAAGTTTTTATTAAAATAATTTATTAAAGCTACTCATTCTAATAAGTGTTTTTTTATTTTATTTGCATTGAATATAAACATTATAAAATGATTCATTTGAAATTAAATAATTAATATTTCATTGGAAATAATACTATCAGTCAATTTAATCTTTTTAAAATGGCTTAACTTACAGTTATTTTGGAATAATAATAAATTATTTTAATTGATGATATAATATTTTTTTAAAAGAAGTAATTAATACATGTGTTAGATTAGTTCCTAAAATAGTCAACATTACAATACTTTCTTTTGCAATCAAATCTACAAGTAATCTATATATATACACACGTTGAACATGAAAATTTAACTACATAATAAGTTGTAAATTTTGATTTTAGTCTCTTTTGGATGTTGTATTTTCTTAATTGCAAATACTCTTTAATTGATTTATAATTTGATACTTTGACGTGTCCGTTGTGATGATAATCTTTATTTATTACGATTTTGCCTTTAAAATTTGAGCTAAAAGAGATGGTATATTTAAATTATCATTAATGATGGTTCTTCTTGGAAATTAAGGGGTTGTGACCTTTAAAATTTTGTAACTCTTATATAATGTCCCTAATCATCATTTGATATATTTACTTATATATTTACAATTTTATCTTCTTACTCTCTTTAATTTTATAACTCATGATTTTTGTCCTTCAAACTTAATAATCATTTAATATATTTACTTATATATTTATAATTTTATATTTTTACCCTTTCATCTTCTTTTATATTTTTATATTTATTTATTATTAATTAATAGCATATTATTTTACTCCTCAACATCAATTATCAAGATCAGTCACTGACTATCATTGACCTCAACTTCTAAACAACATGAGACTATGAACATACTAAAATATAAACACTAGTGCAAAAATGGGCTTTTACGTCAGGTATTTAGGGCTTTTTACGTCGTATTTAAGTCCGACGTTAAAGCGGGAGACGTAAATTTACGTCGGACCCTTTTGCCCGACGTAGATTTACGTCAGTTATCAAGATCCGACATAGATTTACACTAAACAGACGTAAAAACCTTTTCAATTTAAAAAAAAAAACAGAAAATTTACGTCGCATATGGTATACGCGACGTAAATTTACGTCGCATATACCAATATGCGACGTAAATTTACTGTTTTTTTTTAATTGAGTTTATTTATTCTGTTTTACAACTAAAACCTGCAAATATTACAACCAGACAGTCCAGATGTTCAGTTTTCTTTAGCTAGTAAATTAAAAATATAATATTATATAATTCAAACTACATAATAAAACAATATAATACAACACATACAAACTAAAAAATCTATTACAAACTAAGCTACCTATACAAACTAAGCTACCTATACAAACTAAACTAAACTACATAATACACACAATATAATATGAACAAGAACTTAAAAAATAATGTACTAGAATTGTTGAACAAAAAATTTTGCCCATTGTTCTCTAATTTACGTAATCTCAAATTGCAGTAATGGAGATGGATCTTGAAATACCCGAAACATGAATTTGACTCTTGTAAGCATGCAACATGAATAAAGTTAAATAAACTTAACTAATGTTAAAAGTAATTACCTCCATCCAAGAATCAATTAAACCCGCACAAACTATGGCTCTCATCCAATACATTACATAGTAACCACATTCAAACGAGTCAATTTGCTTATTACATCGAAATGATGAAAAAAACATAATATTATTTTCAAAATTGAAATACAAACAATAATTATGGTATTCACTTATATAAATAAGTTTCTAACCTTAGGATAAATGAACTGCAAAGTCTTTGTTCTAGGTTTTCCACTTAGAACATTAGTTCCGATACACGATTCTAAGTGAAAAAAGTCATATATTATTCAATATGTATTCACAATTTAAAAACATAATTAATGAATAAAAGATAAAGTTACCCTTGTAATAAGCTTTTCATTTCTTGACTTGGTTTCCGATGTAATGAACAAAACCACACCACGAGTGTAATCCCGGGGCATGATTACAATTAACCGCCAATGGGACCTACATTGTATGACATAAAAATTAGTTACAAAAATATAAATTAAAATACAAATTAAAATACTAACCCTTCAATGTATGGAGCCAAATATATATGTCTTCTTGAGTCACTCATCCATGTTTGCATATATTGTTGGATTCCAACCTTTGTATTTCCAGATTTTTGGATGGATTGAGGCTCGATAAATCCGTATACTTCGGATTTTTCTTGTTCCACACTCAAATTGTCAAGGTACCTAAAACAATTAATTATAAGTTGAATATAATTATTATAATCTTAGAAACATAAATGAAAATGACTTACATTGCCCACAATTGTATGATGGAAATGTTTAACATGCAATTTCCCCAACAATTTCTAAAGCATCGGGCAAGGAAATGTACAATGGAACACTGGAATTGTCAATTCCAAACACTCTAACATCCCATTGTATCTGACACGGTCTCTTCCTCGACCGTGGTAATACGGCTAACAACATAGAGATGGGATCATCATCACATTACGTCGAGATCCTCATCAATAATAGGTTGTTTTTTATGCTTAGCACGACGCAATTCCTCCTAAACAAATGATAACAATTAATTAAACATTTATATAATTATAATACTAGAAAAGAGTAAATAGACAATATGTATATATATATATATATATATACATATGTATGTATTACATTGGTCTGTCGATAGTGGCATAACGAAACGTCTTGGCCAAGCCAAGAATGTCCCGCTTGCCTGCCCCACTAATTGAATCTCTTCATTAGGAAAAGACACTGGAGCATTAGCATCATGAACTTCATCAACTACTACTCGTGTCCGATCTGGCTGTAGAGGGACACCATGGATGATTAAGCCACCCTCAAAAACTCGACCAACGACCACTAGACGCGGGGGTCATCTTCAACATATAACTCACACTCGGTGTGATGCATCGATCCGAGTATATTCTCCTGAAGGATCAGCAGTAGTAGCAGCACAACTCCCTTTAGTGCCGACTCAAACAATATCTCGCTTCAATTGTTTGAGGTGTTCCTTGAGTCTCGTTGCTGAGAGCGGGCGAGAGATTCAATTTTCTCATCAAACTCTTGCTTCGCAAGGACTGCCTTATTTGATTTAACTTTTCTTCAAACTGCATCTCCATTTTATGCAAGGCCTCCTGGCCGCAAGAGTCGGCAGTGGTCCTTCGTGATGTTGGACCAAAGTAATCACGAAGGCCCCGGGTTCCACCAGCACCACGCACACGTCCCGAGTAACTGCGGTTTTCCTATGGCTGTCGCCAATATATCTTGTCGACCATGAGGAATAAATGATCCTTGGTCGATCCGCTCAACTAAATCATCCTACAACACATTAACAATAATTAAGTCATACACTAACTTTCAAATTAGAATCAATTCAAATTGACATTATAACTTACGATTTTCCGAGCAATGATTCGTGCGGACTCGGAAGTCATTTGTCCATCAGATTTTGTCCGAGCTGCCTTCCACATCCGATAGCGAGGGGTGGAGATGCAAGGTCGGTAGAATCAACTCCTGCCGACTCTTCTCCGGATTTCATGAGACGTTTCTCCAATAATGCATACCCTCCTCGTGACAATACATGGGGTGCATCATTCAACCTCTGACGTTGTTGGGCAGCTTGTCTTTTATCCTGCCAAAAGGGGTCCATTCGGCTAGCACAAAATTGTAACCAATCCTCCTCACTAATTTGATACTTTATACAGGGAGATTCATCTCGAAACTTTCCAAATACATACTCCCGTATCAAGAAAGTCTTAAAGTC